CAGGGTGTGACCATGCTTCTAGGCTGGCTGATGGTCTCAGGGCTGTGAGCCACAGCAGAATACCATTTAAGGCACCCAGAGTTGCAAGGCAAGGGTGACACAACCCCTTACTGGCCTGGTTGAACCCCAAAGTGTCACAACAAATCACTGTGGCAGAGTCACAGAATTGAACCTGGATCACCTGAGTCTCAGCCTTAACCCCAGACAATCCTTCCTCTCAGCCCATCAGTTGCCACTGGAGCCTTTTATCTCCGCTGGTGTCCCTTCCACGCCCCCCACCAGCTTTGAGATGTGATAGAGAAATCAGAGAGAAGCTACAGGCTCTGTCCATGGTGCTAACACAATCTGCCTAACTGCTGGAGGTATGGAGAGCCCCTGACATGAGGCCATCCAGCAATGCCTCCAGAGCTGAGCTAGGACTGCCGGTTAGACTGGTGGCTACTTGAATGCTAGAACCAGATTGTGACTCAGTCAGCAGGGACAGCAGAGGCTGGTGAAAGGCTGAGGTGGCTTGGAGGCTGGCGTACATCTCAGGAAAACGAAGACAGTGTGAGCTGTTAGGAATGGAAGGATGTCTGTGTGTTTAAAGTGCTCAGGCGATCTCGGTTCAATTCCCATCCTGTCAAAAGACTGCCCATGTGCCTTGGGCAAATCACTTAGGCCAAGATTTTCATAACTGCCCAGTGTATTTGGGTGCCTACCTTGAGACATCTAAAAAAGACCCTGGTTTTCAGTAAGTGCAGAGCCAAAAGTGTCTCATGTTGGGCACCCAAAACCACTCCTCACTTTTGAAAATCTTGGCCTTAATCTCTGTGTGCCTCAGTTTGCTATCTGTAAAATGGGGGTAGTCACGCTCCCTTTGTCTGGTCTACTTCAGTTGTGATCTCTTCAGCACCGGGATTCTCTCGCTGTCTGCTTGCACAGCGGTTGGGGCCTCTGTGACCTACTTTTGTACAAGGAATATACGAGGCTTTGGAACACTCTACCATGGGGCTTGGTGGAAGCCGCATGGTTTGCAATATTTAAAACTAGACTGGGCAAAGCCCTAAACATATCGACTCTCTAGAACAGTTCAGCACAGCCAGGGAGAGGGTGGTGTGGGTTGGACTGGATCATATCATGGCTTCCTTGGCATGGCTGAGTTTGGTTGCATCTGTCTAAAGACCCACCCCCCTGCCGGAAGGAAATCTGGTGGTGTGTTTGAAACATGTGTTCCCTAGGAAAGCACAGGTCTGGCAGCAGGGCTGCTGCCTCTCTGGGGCAGGTTGCATTGTCCATTTGCTAGCAGCCAGCTCCGGCGCAGCCTCAAACCCTTTCTTCACCATGGGATTTCCAATGTCCAAACCCAAATCATCCATCAGTGCCCCCAGCTCCAGCACCCTAATGCACTAGCACTTCTTGGGGGGAGTTAAAAGCCAAGGCATCCCAGCCTTGCTGTCCTCTGTCTACTTGTTGTACGTTAACTGGGATGGGAAGGTAATAGCTTTTAGCCTCCATATTTTATCTTTGATTGTATGTAAGAGGAAGGTGGCTGGCTGTCAGTCATATCCCAAACCCTCCTTTACCCTAATCAGATAAATGCTTTATTTTATTAAGGTGATTGAACTCTCTCACCATGTTTCTCTCTATTATTAATCTGTTTAAAAGCCAAGTGTCACCTGAACACAGCCCAGCTCCTAACCCTTCCCTCTCCGGTCTGTCTGCCTCCAAAGGGAAAAGATGGTGAGAAGGGACTAAGACTTCGCTGCTTTCTTTAGAAAATCAAGCTCCTTCACAGGTGCTGCATTGTTTCCCCATGTGTCATGTTAATAGCAGAAGCAAATATATAAGAAATTGCTACTCAAATCCTCTGGGGCAGCAAACCTTTGGTTGTTCAGGTTCCTTGGACTTTTGAACTGCTTCCAAGCCGCTTATCTTAATCTTTGAGATTGTTTCCTTTAGCCCAGTTGGAATTAGCTGATACCTGAAGGGCTAAAGTCAGCCCTGCTGCAATTCCATTGCCTGCAGGGGCTTTTCACCAGCACTGAAGCTGGCCCGACTTTCTCTATCTCCGTGGCATTTTCACCACCAGCAAGGCTCCCTGCCTGCTGAGCCAAGCAGGAACTGTAACCGGATGCTGCCTTCCTCTTTGACATCAATATTTCAGGAGGCTGGATGGGACTGGATTTCAGCAGCTTCTCGCTGTGACAGGGAAAGCACACGGCCTTCACCATGCCCCTTGCCTCTGAGGACTAGTATTGCTGGCAGGGTTTAATTAATGGTAATTCCACCCAGTAAACCCCAGGCTAAGCTGAGTGGGTTGGATCTCCTGGAAAGTTGTTATCCTTCTGTCCCTAGTGTCACGGTAAGATGCATGCTCTACTTTCTGATGTGCTGGGTAAACAAAAGGCGCACTGGCCAGCAGTGGCTGTAAATTGCCTCGCCATATTAGTTTGCTCACACTTATCTGCTCCCTGACCTGGCATCTGCTTGGCCTGTAGTCGCTGCAACCTGAGTTCATTAGGTGAATAATTTTATGTTCAATAACGCTTGCCTTACTGCAAGCCAATCAAGTCCCATACCTCAGAGCATCAGGTGACTGCCATAGGAGTTGGGAGGGAATTTCTCCCCCCCCCCCCATGTACAGAATTGCACCTCTTGTTGGGTGCCTAAGGGCTTTGCTTCATATTCCTCTAAAGCATCACCTATTGGCTGCTGCAGTGAGGGGAGAGGCTTAGTGGACTAACCGTCTGAGCTAATAGGGCAAATCTTGACCTCATGTCCCATTTTAACTCATGCTCCTCATTTGTTCTCTGCAAGCCAGGAAAGAATTACAGGTCATGCAGGGGCGGCGAGTTATATGGGCCCGTGGTGCCCAGGCTCCAGCAATATTCAGGGCCCAGGGGCCCAACTCCACCACTGTTCGGGGCTGGGTCTCTCCCCCTGGCTGGCCCCCACCTGCCACCCCTGCGCGCCTCCCCGGGGCCCGGGAGCATCCTTGCCTCAAGCCGGTGGCTGCCCCTTGCAGCTCCCCACTGTCTTGGCTCTGCAGGCTCCCGGCATCAACTGCCGCTGCAGGGTCCTAGAGCCCTCCATCTTCTAGTGCCAGGGCAGGCTGCCCCTGCCCTTCCACCTCAGACCCTTCCCTTTTCCAGCGGGACCCTCCACCAGCACAGGGGGGCCCCCGCCTGCAGTCACCACTCCAGTCCCACTCTGGGCAAGGGGCAGCCCCAGCCCCACCCCCAGTGAGACTACAGTGAGGGGTCACAGCAGGGGAGGAGGCACACATGTGATGGCAACCCCCCCCCGGCACCCACCACAGGGGAGGTGAGGGGGTTCCTGGACCTGAGAGGGGCCCTAGGAGCACGTGCAGTGACAGTGGTGCAAGGTGAGTGTGCTACTGGGAGGGAGAGGGGGCTTTCTGCTTCCAGCAGGGGGGAGTCCTCCTCTCTGGCCCCAGCCCTGCGGCAGCCTGCCTGCACCCCAAACCCCTCATCCCTAACCAGAGCCCTCATCCCCCCACACCCTAACCCTCTGCCCCAGCCCTGAGCCCTCTTCTACATCGTGAACCCCTCATCCCCGGCCCCACCCCACAGCCCTCACCCCAACCTTCTGCCTGAGCCCCTCCCACACCCCAAACCTCTCATCACCAGCCCCACACAAAAGCCCTCACATTTTTACATTATTTTAAAATATATATATCGGCTTACAAGGCAAGTGTGGGGGGGTGGGACTTGGACCCGTTCTGGGCACCACCAAAAATTATACAAACCTCCCGCCCCTTAGGACATGCGTTTTAAAGGCAGGGAACTACCCCACCTCCAACGGCAGAGGAGGCAGAGAGAGAGGTGGGTGTGCCCCAGGCCCACATTCGTTCCTGACTTTCTCACCTGTTTCTTTAACTGGAAAGGATTTTGTCTTTCTGCTCTAAGTAGTGCAGGAGAACCGCACACATGCATGTTTGCTTCACCCAGCCTCTTTCCGTCCAGAATTGGCCTGGCTTCGCAAGCTCAGAGCTGGCTCCTACCTTACAGAATGAAACTTTGGGCAGAAGTGGTTAGTGGAAAAGTGCCCCACTCCAGGAGGGGCCCCACTGAAATCAATAGGAGAGTTCATGGCGGATGGTGCTTTTCATGATGAGTAAAGTATTAGAGTGTGGCCCTTTATATCTGCCTAAAGTAATGCTTTAGATGGGAGACGGTTCTGAGCAGTTCTCCCCTTCATGCTTCAGCAAGTGCAGCTACTGCACCAGCAAGAGCATTGCTTACCTATGTGCAATGAGTTTGACAGGTCTCAGCCCACTTCTCTAGGGCCTAATGTCCATGTTGCAAAATCACTCTCACGCTTGGCCCTAAGTGACACCTTTATTGGTAATGTGGCCTAGCAGATGGAGCACTGAACTTGGACTCAGGAGACCTGGCTCTGCCATTGGCTTGCTGGGTGACTTGGGGCAAGTCCCACCACTGGTCTGTGCCCCAGTTTCCCCCTCTGTAAAATAGGGGTGATGCTACTAACCTCCTTTGCGAAGCACTTTGAGATCCATGGATGAAAAGTGCCATGGAAGAGCTAGGTGGTATTATTACGGGCAGTCTCAGCAGAGACCCCCATGAGTGTGTGGCTCAGGAAGACTATAAACTACCTTCTTCCTCTGTGATGTCACCCTGCCAGGGCATAAATGAGGCACAAAGGTAGGGTAAATGGGGGGGATCTCAAATGCCTGAATGGGCCTGTTTTATGGCTGGGGAGGACAGCAGGTTCTAACTCTGTCCATCCGGCCCCTTTCACAAGCATTAAATTGACCCAAATTGTAGAAAAAAAATACAGAGTAAGTTTCTCTGTTCAGTCTGCAGTTGCCAGCCCTTTATATTGCTTCCCCCACCTCTGGGAATGTCCTGATCTCAGATGGGCCCGGCAGGGGCTGTGGTAACACAAACAGTAATGAGTTGACTCTAGGACCTGGATGCATTTTTGCCCCTAGGACTGGGTTGGGCTGAACCCCTGGAGCCCCATGAGCTACTCACCTGCCGCCAGCTGCATCCAGGCACAGATTTTGTAGACAGTGGCTGAATTGCAGAAGAAGAACAGGCTGAAGCAGAGGATGCAGCCGATGATGAGGAAGGTGGAGATGCCCACGAAGAACATGGCCGTTTTGAAGGCACTGGAGGGGATGGTGCCAAAGTCCAGGGGGCTGCCCTTGCAGATGAGCTCGCCAGTCAGGGCGTTGCCAATGCAGTAGGAGAAGAGGCCGAAGTAGCCGGCCTGTGGAGTGTCGATGCTGTCACCGATCCAGTAGGGTTGAATGAAGCTCACCACCATGATGACCGCAAAGCAGAGGGTGAAGAGCGCCCACAGCACCCCCATGGCCCGGGCGTTCCGCACATAGTTGGTGTGGTAGATCCGGGCCGCTTCCTGGGCTGGCAGCATCTTCCCCATGGCACGGCTGGGTGGGCTGCTTCTGGGCTGGCCCAGGACTGGAGGTGTGGGGCCAGGGGCTCCCTGGCTGGGGGGTTGCCTCCTTGTGGGCACCGGGCTCAGGCTGTGGGCTCCCAGGGAAGTTAGTGAGGTGGGAGGGTGCCCTGCCCACCCAGGGGGCAGCTCTGGGACCTAGCCCAAAGCCCCGTGTTCAGGGCCCAGCTCTGGAGATCAAGCTCCGTGTCCAGATTCTCGGTTCCAGCCCCCGTGCCCGGCTCCGGCTCTGGGCCGGGATGGGCTCCCCGGCTCAGGCGCTCCGGTGCCCGGCTCCCAGCCGCACCCCTGGGGGACCAGCCGCTTCGCCCCGGCCCCTCCCAGCCCCGTGTCTCCAGGCGCCGGTGTCTCCTCCCCCGCGTTCGCCGCGCCTGCCCCCGCCTGCCCCTTCCCTCGGTTCCCCAGCCAAGCCTCTGGCAGCGGCTGTGGCCCCCTGCTCCTCCCCGGGGCCCCTGCCCGCTCCCTGCGCGCTGCGCTCCGGCTGGCTCCGGGAGCGCGATTCAGCACCGCGGAGAGCGCCCCCGCTGGGGAGCCGCCCGGCCCGGCCTGGGCAAAGGAGCCGGAGGCTGCGAATCCTCGCTCTAGAGTGGGGAAGGCTGTCCTGGGGGGATCGCGCCCTTGTGAGCCCGCGGGTGGGGGGGCTGGATGGAGAGATCTAGAGTGCGAACAAGCCAAGGAGACATGGCACATGTTCTTGCCCCCCTCCTACCCCCTGGTGCCTGCGCCCCCGCCCCCCGCCAAGCCCCCACCTCCCAGACACGCTCTTCCTCCGTCCATCATCCACTGCACACCAGCTGGGGGCCCCGCCCCTGTCCAAGCAACCAACCAGGGACTAGCCCCTGAATGGGGGCAGGGGGCTGTGCCTAAAACAAGGGACAGGAGAGGTGGGGAACCAGCCAAGCGGCTCTCGGGGCTTGTAGGGGGGAAGGACAATATGGTTATAGGGCCAGATCTTCAGCTGGGGGGAAATCACTGCAGCTCCACTGAAGTTAATGGTTCATTTAGCTGGAACAATTTGTGTAGTGGGGGTGCTGAGAGCCATTGAACCAAACTGTCAACCCTGGATGTGATGGAAACCACTTCAAGCCAGGGTGTGCGGCAGCCCCCCTCGTTCCAGCACCTATGTTTTAGTGCTGGTGAAAGTGCTGGATTGACCATCCAAGATGGGGAAGTCCTGTTTATTCGCAGATCAGATACAACACCAGTGCGTTTCCTCCTTCTTACTCAGCCTAGCTGCTCCTTACGTAGCTGTATCTCTGCTGGGAATTTGGGGGGAAATCTTCCCCCATTGCACTAGCCTCAATAGTGCTAGCACTGGCCACAGCAAATGGTGGAGGCAGGATATTATGCCTGTCGCATCTAACCCTGCCCTGACATAGTGGTAAAGCAACCTTAGCCCCATCTCTGTGGCTGCTTCCAGGGGCAGAGCAGCATTGTTGTTTATTTGTATTGCCATACGCATAGGAGCCGTAGTCCTAGACCAGGACGCCATTGCATCAGGTGCTGTACAAACCCAAAACAAAAGGACAGTCCATGCCCCGAAGGACCTACAATCTAAGTGCAGTGCAACACACAGCGAGATTTCCCAACAATGTCGTTGCTTTCCTGGGAGGAGGGATTTAATCGATACCTCGGTGTTAGCTTTCAATATTATCTGAACTCCTTTAAAAGGAAGAACTTTATTATTATTCTAGCTCATTTAGAAGGGATCATTTCATGTCCTGTAATATATACTACTTACTGGATTTTCCACTCCATGCATCTGATGAAGTGGGTTTTAGCCCACGAAAGCTTATGCCCAAATAAATGTGTTAGTCTCTAAGGTGCCACAAGGACTCCTCATTGTTTTTACTGTTATCTGAGATGATTGCACTGATCTGGAGAGTTTTCAGAGGACAGGGGAAGAGAGTTACACCAGAAATGCGTTTGACCCCACAGGGATCTCCTTTCTGGTTTCCCAAGGGCGCTGCGTCTACCAGGAGTAGGATGGCCAAGGCAGATGTTGGGATGGTGCTGAATTATTATGAATGACTGATTGATATGAATGTAGTAAGGCTTGGGACATCTGAATTTGCTAAAGGATTCTGGGAGCAGGGTTCTCTTAGTATCAGACAGTATGCTGAAATTGCACTTGAATACTGATATAACTATGGATTAGGAATGGTTAACCAGAGGCTCTGTGTGTGGGTATTTTAGCTGACGCTTTTATCATGGTTAAAGCTACGTTTTAGTCACGGGTATTTTTAGTAAAAGTCACAGACAGGTCACGGGCAGTAAACAAAAATTCACGGCCCGTGACCTGTCCATGATTTGTACTATATACCACTAACTAAAACTTGGGCGGGGGGGGGGGCGCAGGTGCTCTGGGGGGTGCAGTCCAGGGGTGCTGCAGGTGCTGGAGGGGGTGTCCCGGGAACCCTGCTGGTGCTGGGGGGGAGGCGGGCAGCAGCGCAGGGCCCGGGACCCCTGCTGGTGCTGGAGGGGGGGGGGCAATGGCAGCGCGCAGCCCGGGACCCCTGATGATGATGGGGGGGGGAGGGTTGGCAAGGCTGGCAGGCTCCCTATCCGGCTCTGACCAACATGTCCCTGCAGCTCCTAGTGGGAGGGAATGCCAGGGGGGTTCCACGCGCTGCTCCCGCCACAAACGCCTGCTACGCAGCTCTCATTGGCTGGGAACCACAGCCAATGGGAGCTGCAGGGGCAGTGCCTGCAGGCAGGGGCAGTGTGAAGAGCCCCCGGTCCCTCTGCCTAGGAGCTGCAGGGACATGCCGGCCACTTCTGTAGAGCCCCAGCCTCCAAGGTAAGCGCTGCCCCAAAACCCTGCCCCAGCCCTGAGCCCCCTCCCACACCCAAATTGCTGCTGTTGCTGGCCCAGGGGCTGCCCGGCCACAGGGCATATTTCAGGGGCATGTAACTCCTTTGAGAGTGAGGGGTATACGTACTAATAACATCATATGTGCAGTGGCAGTTCCCCAATTAATATCTAAAGAAGTCTGTGACCCTGTAGGATGGGGTCCCAGGGTAGCCAACACCTTGCTATGAGGGATTTTTGTGGGACTTTTGGACCAGAGGGCCTCAGGGTAGCCAAAACCTTGCTCTGGGGGACATTTGAGTACTTGAGAAGAGAAGAGAAGAGAAGAGAAGAAGAAGAGGTCTCCATCCAGGACTGGTAGCTATACCTGCTTTGTTTGCAATCAGGATACTGTGTAGGGCCAGCGTTGTAGGGCCTGAGGGTTTATGCTTGGGGAATTGAGGCTTATTAAGAAGACATATTGTATAACCTTTTACTGCTTGTGTGATTCTTTCTCAAATAAATTGCTGTGCATTAAGCAAATTGTATCTGAATTTTCACTGGTACAATCTGCCCAGCTGTGGGCCATTAAAGATCTGTTTCAATGGTCAGGACAATAAAAAGAGGGGCTGGAGAAACTCACCTGCTCCTGACCATCTGTTATCCCTCAGGATGGCTAATAAAAAGGCTGCAAACTGAAAGGGTAGCAAACAAGTTAATCATTGTTAAAAGTGGATGGAGTGTAACAGGTGTGAAACCTGCCCCGCTCCCAGTGCTGGGTTCCTTTTATCATCCAGTCAACCTGCGTCACTGAAATATTTTTTAAAGCAAATATATCCAAGAACAGGTGCTGTTTGCTGGATCCTTCTCGAGGCTCAATGCTGCCAAGTGTTTATCAGTAACGCTGTGGAGCTCTAGCAGACACTTTTCAGGAGTGCAAGGTACAACTGGACTGGCTGAGGAGAGAAGGTGGGCTGGATGTTTACAGGTTTTTGTCACAGTGCCCTGGCTAATTTATATTCAGATGCTACTAAATAGGGCTAATTAGACTATTTGCTCATTTCAGTGGAACGCCGACTCTTTTAGATCCATCTGGCTATACTGGAGAAATAAGTTTCCTAGCCCCCTTGTGGCACATTGTTTGGCACTGAAGTGGTTAAGTGGACTCGATTTACTGATACGGGTTTGCAAAGCAGCAGAATCAACTTTCATTTTATTATCGTATCCCTTTAAAATGAGGTAATAAGGGAGAGAGGATTGTCCGGTGCTTAGATCATGGGACCGAGCGCCTGGAGTTCTGGATCCTATTCCCGGCTTGGCCAACAAAGTCACCTTGTACAAGTCACATTAGCTCTTTGTGACTCGGATTCCCCTTTGTAAAATGGGGGGACAGTGCTTCCCTAACTCCCTGGCCCGAATTCACTACTGTGGTAAAGCTCGCTAAGGTCCTTGGAAGAGAGGTGCGATATAACTGCAGAGCAAAATAGAGTCAATGCAGCAAAACTGCCCAGACCATCTCGTAAGTCTCAGAGCTCTTTACAAATATTAATTAAGCCTAAGCAACTGGCCCAAGGTGACTCAGTGAGTCCAGGAATACAACCCACAAGCAATGACTCCCAGTGGTATAACCACTAGACAGCATTCCCACCTTGCAGAGGAGGACTCATTGGATAGCAATGGTAGCCTGTGATGTGAAATTGTCTCTTTTCTGGTGAAACCTTTGGGTTCCATTTGTATTAGCTCATGTGGGCCCTTTGCCTGTTTCTTCAGGCTGCGGAGCAAGCGTGGCTTGATCGCTCATGTGTATATTTTGCTTAGCTCACTTGGCTTCTTTCTCATGCCAGTGAATATGAAAGTGGAAGTTTGGAAAATGTAATGCTCCCTGTAAATGACCTAAAGGATGAAAATATATGGAGGTGGGCCCTAATCTGAACTCTGGGTTCAAATTCCATATATCCATCAAGGGCTGGATCAAAGCCATGACTCCCCCAAAAGCCTGGGCTTTGGAGATCTTGGGTGCCAATCCTGGAAAATCTGATCTCCTATTTCCATGGAGTAGATTTCATTTCTTGATCTCTCTGTTAAAAAAAACAAAACAGCTGTACAAAGATCTGTTTGATGGAGATAGAACCAGCTTCTGATTCTGTTCATGAAACATTTTCCCTTTGTCATAGGAAAAAAATTGCCAAATTTCCCTCAAATAGTCTGATATTTGGATCATGGCTAGAGAGGAAGGTCCTTGCTCAAATTCAAACAAAAATAATTACAATGGCGAGTTTAACTAGGAATAGGCAACTTAATTTCCTAGCAAACTCTTTCTCTTAATTCCCTTTGTTCATAGACCAAAATGTGTTTTCATGGGGCAGCTCCCTGTCTGTACCGATGGTTCTGGTTCAGTGCCATGATTTTCATTGGTTCTCTGCATTCGCAGCTCCCAGACAGAGCAGGGCTGGCTCATCAGAACCCAAAAGGGTGAAATCATTCCCCGCTTTGTGCTTTCCATGAGCTTGCTGACATCGCCTGTGAGGGACATGCAGGTGCACTAAATCATCTCCAGAGCCTTTGAGAATGATCAGAAAGACCCAAGAACAAACTGGGTGCTTCTTAGCTGGTACAGGAACCTCGAGGAGATAACAGCAGAGAAATGCTCTGATCCTGCACTCCTCACTCAGGCAAAACTCCCATTCACTTTAGTGGGTATTGTGCCCAAACAAGGACTTCAGTAACAGGCTCTAAGTCCTTGTACAGTATAAGGAGGCTTTACCAAGTCGGGGCGGTGAACTACACAGGCAAATTTGAGTTGAGATTGCCTGTGTAACTTGTGTAAGGACTGCAGGACTGGGGCCTTTCTTTGTTACTTTTGATTCTTCTCTTCTATTTCCACCTTCAATATTTCAGAGCATGAGAGAATTCGTGGGCTGGTTTGGCCTTATCAACAGAGAGAGGTGTGCTTACGTGATTGGGAGAGGGCTGGTGACGTGATGGCAGATCTGCTTTATAGCCCTGGTACGCTGCTGTGCACCTGTTCCTGCCCTGAAAGCCCCAGACGGGTTCTTTGGCTGCCCTACGGCCAGATGGCGAGCGCCCTGCTCCTGCTGCTGCTGCTCTCCCTCGCCTCAGCCCGGTCGTTTTCTCACCAGCGAGGCATCATCTTAAATTTGGTAAGAGGAGGCTGGGAAATGCAGTTTGCCTGGGCCCGATCCCACCTGCGCTCCAGGGAGGGAAAGTCTCTTGGAGCGGCGGGGAATTAGCTGCCCTGCAGATTTGCAGGCTGTGGCTCAGAATATCCCGCTGCTTCCTTTTGGTGTCCAGTCAGATTCCTTGGGAATTTCCTGTGCTGGAGGAGAGAGGTTTTCAAAGGCATCTGTTGCAGCTTAATACTTCATTTCAATTGATTTCCTTCATTCTAATGACTTTATGGGCGTTTCTGTGGCCCCTCCCCATGCTCGTATGGGAATAATTTACAACCTCGGATGGATTAATTCTAACTGCCTCACTCCCCATGGGGCAGGGAATGATCATTCTCCCAATTTTATGGATGGGGAAACTGAGGCACAGAGCGATTAACGGCCTGCTTTGCAGTGGTGTCAAACAATCCCATCGCCCATTGAAGCCAAGGGGAGGGGAAGGAGCTCAGCATCTCTGAAAATCAGACCATTGCTAAGTGTCATGGCCAAAAGGAAGCTTATGGCAGAGCCAGAACGGAGGTTTCTGGTGTCCTGGTCCAGGGCTTTAGCCATATGTCAGTTGCCACACATTGTCTTAACCACAAGCCAATTCACTGGGATTGTGACATAAAAGGTGATGGAGCCAGTCAGAATGTGTAACTCGAACCAAGCCCTGGAAACCACAGCCAGGGCCTTTGTGGGATTCAGGGTGAAGAGGGGGGAACGTCAGATTCTCGGACTAGGACACTGGGGCTGGGACACGCAGCCTTCTAGGCACATCCCAGCAATGGCAGATTTTGTGTGTGTGGAAGTGTGCACAATGGACTCACTTTTGGGGGTGGATTCTGCTATTCTTACTCATGATTTATTCAGGGCAAACTCCTATACACCTCCCTGGCAGTCTTACTTGAGTCAGGACTGAAGAAAAACTTCAGGATTTGGCCTACAGCGGATTGGATGAAATAAAACTTCATTTGGGGGCGGGGTGTGTGTGTGTGTGTGTGTGCGCACGCACACACGCCATAGGTGACTGGCCACCTCAGACAAGGTCCACTTGGTGTGTACGTGCCTATAAATACACACTCCGCACCGAGATATACTCATAAGAAACCACCCAGAGCAATTTTTTTTCACAGTCATTTCATTCCAAGTGGGACTCATGTTCTCCGCCAGCGGAGACTCGCCACAGCAGAGCTGGCTGGAGGCAGGGCCCGGCGTGCAGGTGACAGAGGGCAGCTGCAAGGTGTGGCTCCCCGTCTGTGATAGGAAGAGGCACAGGGAGACGGAGCTTAGCTCTGGGACCCTTGGGGGTCCATGCGTCGGCTCTCACTGTGCGTTCCTTCCAGGACAATGGGGAGCTGTGTCTGCAAAGTGCTCAGTGCAAGAGCAGCTGTTGCCACAAGACTGGCGTGTTAAGCCTGGCTCGTTGTGCGAACCGAGCAGCCGAGAATCAGGAGTGTTCCCCCAAGGTACGTGGCCCGCTAGCTCTGGCTCATGCTCCCACAGATGTGCCTTGTCCTTCCTCCTTAAGCAGCGGGTAAAGCAGCTGAGATCCGGATGTGCAGGCAGCTGATAGAGACCCACGTTTGCAAATTGTTTGTGAGTAACAACTATGGGAAGAGGCAAAGCTCCAGCAGCTCGAGGATCCCGGTTCAAACACCTTTGGGGTCCCTTTTCTGTGACATGCCGCTAGTCCCTAGTGCTCTTTCTCCTTGTGCCACCCCCTCGAAAGTTCTTGGGTGCCCTCAACACCTTCCGTGCAGCCAGGGCTGGATTTTCAAGGCAGGTCCCTCCCAGTCTGGGGACACCTCTTCTCCAAGGTAGCCCCCATTCCCCCTCTAGTAACAGCTGCTTTCTGAAGGAAGGCTGCCTGGCTCCCTTGCCCTCTTGGCAGGTGCTTACCTAGTCATGGCGCCCAGCAGCCACTCTGCGGGGCCTTCCTAATGCCCCACTCAAAGCCTGGGCAACTCTAGGGCTTCCCATTTAGCTGCCTCCGGCAGTGGTGTCCTAGCCCCAGATGTGGCTGATGATTTGTTTCCAGACTGTGCTGTACGATTGCACAGGAAGGCCCGATCCCTGCCCAGAGAGCTCAGGCTGGACGGACAAAGAGTGCGGAACAGGGTAATACCACCTCCGGGTCAATACATGGAGGTATCAGTGTAACTGGGCCTGCTGGGCAACAGCGGGTTTAGAATGTGGGACCCTCACAGCTAAAATCACGACACTTGGCTGCTTGAGCTAAAGGACCACATTTCCTACCTGGAACTCTTGTATGGACCAGCCAGTAGAGAGTGACAAAGACCCACACTGCATGAGGTGCGTTACTAGACACCGTCTCACCCCATTGGCCCCTCCCCTCGCCGTTATGAGCTGGCTGGTTGTTTGCAGGCATCATGGCAGAGGTGGGATTTGAATGCAGGGAGGGCTTTGTGGAGCTGCTCAGGAAGGGTGTCCCACAGCAGAGAGCTGGTTGTAGGAGAAGCAGACTGGTTTGCTGAGGCCTTGCTGGTAGACGAGAGGAGGTGCTGGGCATGCTGCAATGTGCCGTACTATTACCCAGACCTTTGTGTCCCCTGCAGAGCATCTATGGGGTTTACTACAAGTGTCCCTGTGAGAATGGCTTAACCTGCGAGGCCGATAAGAGCATCGTGGGATCCATCACCAACACCAACTACGGCATCTGCCAGGATCCTGGGAGCTCGTCCAAGTAAAATGGAGTAACAGCATAGGAAATGTTCCCATGCACGTGCCCCACAGCCGTACCCCTTCCCACGCACGTGCCCCACAGCCGTACCCCTTCCCACGCACGTGCCCCACAGCCGTACCCCTTCCCACGCACGTGCCCCACAGCCATCACCGGTTCCCACTCATGCACCCCTCCTCTCCACCATATCTACTGTATACACCAGGCACCTCTTCCCATGCTCCTTTCCCCACACCTCTCACTCCACCACATACAGATACCTGCCTTGTTACATACTTATCCCCATACCCGCTTCCACCCAACCCACACACTGATCCCTTCTGCTGTCACCAACACCTGCACCCATCCCTCCACACCGACCCACTCCACACACATACACACCTACACTCAGTTCTGCTGGAGTAACGCACAGGGATCCTGAATGACATTTGATTATCGGGTGTCCCTCTGTGCTGGGTCTAACAATTCAGAACACCCTTCCCGTGTATCTGGGTGAAACAAGAACGCATCAGTTCAATACCCTCCAAGAGCCATTATTGTCTCTCCCCCAACCCCCCAAAATAACTACCTGCCTCTATCGCGTGCTGTATCTTCAGCTGACACTTTGCAAAAGGGGCTGCAGTCCCCTTCCTGGTGCCCCCTCCTGAATCCCATTCTTCATAAGCCGTGCCGTCCTTACCCAGCCTTGGCCCTGACTTCCCACTGATTACATCATTGTCTCTCTTTCTGCAATAATTGACTGGCTTCTCCATGGTGCTGCAGCAATTCTTGTGCCCATCCATATCACCCTAACCGCATCCAGCTGGGGATTGGGGAGCGGGGGGAGGAAGGAGTTCTTGTTGGACTTTCCAGTAAAACTTTTCTTCTCCTGGGGTAACATGAGATCAGGCATTGTTCCCCACCTCCTCCAGTTAATGCAGAGGTAGCAAGGCCAGGACCTGTTCCAGGGACCAAGATACAGGGAGCAAGGGGTCTGTAGCAGGTGGGAAGGGAGAGGCTGGGTGGGAGATAGGGTAGATGGGACTTCAGACCAACTCAAAGAAGGCTCATGCCTTGGGCAGAACAAGGTTGGAGAGGATTTCCTCTCTGGGTGAAATCTACCCCTGCGCATTGAGTATTTCAGGTGGTACAAAAGCCCTGGTCCAGGGTGAATTTATCTCCTAGACTGATGCTTGCTCAGTATTAGCACTGGGCATATAACTGCGATCAGTACTGTAGCTGGTTAACTCAGCCAGTCATTCTCCCTGTGGACTCCGCAGGGCAGATTGCAATTTCCTCAGATTGAGTCCATCACTGAACTCATTCAACTAGCAGCTTTCTTTGCTCTCCAGCCAGACCTCATCTCCCAGGGTGCACCATGGCCACGCGACTCCCACAATGCACTGCCTCTCCTCCCCCTAAGAGGAGATCATGGTGCATTGTGGAAGACTGAGTCCAGTCAGGGAGCCTGGTCTACAGAGGTGAATGGGAGCATGAGGCACCCAAACTACAATTCCCATGAGGCACCACAGCAGCCTTTCAGAATTGAACCATTTTGGTTTTCAGCCAGAATACTTCAGACTTTGATTTTTATTTCTCTCCAAAAGTCAAATTTTTCAGCAGGGAAAACCCCATTTTCTGACCAGCTCTATTCACACCACCTCCTAAGTGGTGTTACCAGAGAGCTCTATGTACGTGTATATAATCTGTAATTATGTGTAAATACTTAATAGATAAGGTGCTAATAGCGGGCAGAGTTCCTGGGTTTTGTCCACCCCTAGGCTGCCAGTTACAGCCCTGCATATGACCATCTTTGCCCTTCCTGACGCATCAGTGACACTTGTCATTGGCCAGCTGGGTCCATGCCTAGCAACCGGGACAGAGGGGTGCAGCCCAGAGCCAGGACTGGCTCTCCGTGTACTTGAAAGAGGAGCAAATTCTGCAGGAGACCCTCCGCCCCTGAGGCCTCTTCCTTTGGCAGGGAATAGGAGAAGGGGTCCAGGAGGCAGCTGGGCCCCAGGCCAATTAGAGCTTTGCTGGTGGGGCCTACCACCTTGCATTTGCCACAGGAGCTGTGGGGCAGGCAGCATGGCATGTGGGCATAACAGCCTCTCCCCAGTCTGCTTTGCTCAGCATTCGCCCCATACTAAGCCCTGGCTGTGACTCCGCTTTGAGCCCAAGCCCCACTTCCGTCCATGCACCAATCAGTCTGACTTGGGTCAGCCAGCACGCAGGCCTCAGCGCCTAGGACCCAGCTAGGGGATGGGTCAGAGCCCAAGTCACACCATGACTCAGGCCCAAGCCCCTTCTGCAGCGTGGACACAGCTCGAGCCACAGACCCAAGTCAGAAGGTCTGCGTGGTGCAGTATGGCCGCGTTGGCAAAGCTGCGAGACCCGGATCGGACAATGACCTGTCCGGTTTTACAAGGCAGTGTGGATGCTCAAGTGTGGACTTGGAAACATCATATCCCCAAGCTCAGATCCCACCACTCTGGACATAGAGGCTTTGTCTGCCCTGAGGGTTTGCCCCGATTCCAGTCACCTTGTCGCAGTTTATACTTACCCCGGTTTCAAGCAGGGGTGAAGCCCCCCCCGGTGCGAATAGCAGCTTTGCCTGTCTGCACTGGGGGGTTGCAGTGAGGGCTGGAATCAGGGCAAATCCCCAGTTTAGCTAAGGCCTGAATTTAGTTACCAAGGAGGGGTGCAGGGGATGTTTCCCAGGGGCTGCGGTGCTGTGCCAGGAGCCAGTGACATTGGGTTCTTCCTGGGGAAAGACAGAGACGGACGGCAACGGCCCCTCGCTCCTGAGCTCTTTTATTAGCCTCTGGTGATTCTTCTGGTCTGATCTGGTTCTACCCCATCCCCGCCGCGAGCCAGCTCAGGGGTTGTCGTCCTCATCGAAGTAGGAGCAGTCGATGCGCTGCCTGCTGAATTTGGCCTCCTCCTCCTTGCAGAGCTGGAGGCTCAGGATGACCTTGCAGGCCTGGATCTGCACCTCCTCCTCCGGGTGGATGATGAGGGAGAGCAGGCGGTCGGCCAGGTGGGAGTCCTCTCCGAAGAGCGCCTCGTGGAGGGACAGCTCGTTGTACTCCCAGTGCACCGACTGGTACTGCGGGGTCAGGCGCCCCTCGCTCAGCTTCTCCACGAACACCAACATCTCATAGAGCAGGTTGCCGGGCAGCGAGGCATGGAAGAGGTTCAGAAAGTCGGGGTGCACCTGGGGGCCCACAGAAGGTACTGCTATGGGCTGAGTTCATCTCCACCTTCCCCATACATGTTTCCCTGCCATGGCTCTGCCAGGTGGGAATGTGGGAGGGAGGGTGGAAGATCCCTCCCCAAAGGCAATGCACAGGGTCCCGAGGATCTGGGGGGATTCTGATCTAGCCAGGGCCGTAGATTTCTGCTCATCCTTGCCAGCCTCAAAAGAAGGAGCAACAACAGCAGTTTCTCTGCGCTTGAGCCAGACTCCTGAACCCTGCCCAATGAGTGTGGAGCGTTCTCAGGTGCTGGCTTTCTGCTCCTGCTGGGCCTGAAATGCTTCAAGATCAGCCTCTTGGGGGATCCCAGACCCACCAGCCTCTTGATGGAGAAGGATGGGGCAGGAAAGTTAAGGAGGCGTATAGGAACCTCAGCTACCGGGAGCGGTTCGGTTCCAGGGCCTGGAGCAGAGAGTGGGGGGGAGCAGGCACGCAAGGGGAGGCGGGGGGAGAGCACTTTGCTGCCCCACCCCACGTTAACGCTCAGCGTTTCCAGGCGCAGGAAACCAGGGAGAGCGTGTTTTCTTTCGGTGGGTTGGGTTTTTGTCCAAATCAGCAACTGCATCCAAACCAGGGCCAATCTGAATCAGAACTTCCAAGGGTATTCAGCCTGGCGCACAGCCCCAGCGGGGAAACGTCAGCCTGGGCAGCTGAAGTTTGGCAAAGTCATAAGCAACTGGGTCTTATAAGGGGAAAATGCCAGGCACAGCCTGTGCCACCTATAATATAGGACTCCAGATGCCCCCGGCCTTGCCTCCTCTGTGCTCCCTGCTCTCCTCTGCCCCGGGCCCGGCTCTTCAAGACACTCCCAGCCCTGCTAGCAGGCTGTCCCTTACCTGGCAGTTCATGATGTCATACAGAAGGTCTTCTTTCTGGGCCAGGTTGCTCAGCAGCTTGAGCACCTGCACCTAAGGAAACAGGGCAGGGTGTCTGAGCACATGACTCAGGGAGGGGAACGCCACTCCAGGCCCCGTCGCTGCTGAAGCAAAGGTCAGTGTCCAGCAGGAGCCACTGAAGGGAATGAGGTGGGAGAACTCACAGCTGCTCACTTCAGCCCCAGCCTCACCCAGCAGGGGGCGCTGTAGGGCATGGGCCTAGGATCAGTGGCTGTGGGGGAGCTCCCAGCTACTCCAGTCCCAGCCTCACCCAGCAGGGGGCGCTGTAGGGCATGGGCCTAGGATCAGTGGCTGTGGGGGAGCTCCCAGCTACTCCAGTCCCAGCCTCACCCAGCAGGAGGCGCTGTAGGGAATGGGGTAGGAGCACTGACTATGGAGTGCTCCTGGCTACTCCAGTCCCAAGCTCTCCCAGCAGAGGGCACTGTAGGGCATGGAGCAGGAGTGCTGGCTGTAGGAGAACAAGACCAGCCTAGTGGTCTGAGCTCAGGAGTGGGAGCCCATGTCTCCTGCAGTCCAAGCTGAGCTGGGACAGGGACACACGGTGTGGGTTTAGACAAGTCCCAGTTTCCCATCTGTAAATCCGGTCTGAGGGGTGAGGCGAGTGGAGTTAATTAGTTAGTGCTTGTAAAGCACATGGAGGACCAGTCCTGTGTACTACTGGGAGTGTGGCAGAGTCGCCCAGCAGCCCCCGTAGGGAACAGCTCGAGGGCAGGGTGTGGAAGAAGCTCACGTGGACTCCTGTCCCAGACAGGGACTCCCCATCCGTCATGGTGCAGGAGCTCCTGGCTGGAAGGAGAAGGAATGCCCCCATTTCTATACCTGGGTCAAAGTGCTCCCCGTCTGCAGGATCTCCATCAAGGAGGGTATAATCCGTC